AGAATTTTGTGGAAAATATTTTCAAGGAAAGACTAGATTCTTAACACACAATTGTCATGAAAAACAAAAAGATACGGAGACAAGCAAGGTACAGGGGCAGAGTAAAAGGGGCTGCTCATCTGAGATGCCAGCTTTATTTATATCCATAAGTTACATTAGGTCATTGACATCATTAGTACATATTGCTCATTGTGTAAAGTTACTGTTAGGTGATCAGGTTTAGGCCCAATGACACATTGGTGTTGTATAAGACATTTATTCCCAGAAGCTGAGTGTTTGAAATTAAGTTCAAGGCTGGTAAGACTCTAGCACAGAGCTTCCTCTCTCTATTTTTATGGTTTTCTAACATGAACTGTCTTATTTTTTAACAAAAAAATCCATAAATGCTGTTTTTAAATAAATAAAGCAGTTAAGATCACTTGAAGTATACATTGGGACTTTTTTTAAGCACTAGCTCATTCTTATAAACAAACACTGTTCTCATTGTAAAAGTAATTCTTAGTATTCCTAGTATTGAAAAAAATATGTAAATCTTGATTGAGTGCCTTAAACACATGCACAAACTTTTTGTTGTAGGGATTTTGAAATAATTCAGACAATAATCTTTTCCCACTCTGCTTTTTAAAAATAGCTATGTTAATTGTAGGAGCTTATATTTTAGCACTCCTGGACTGTCTAGGTTTGATCCCTGATTCTTTGATCTTGAGCAGAGTAGTTAACCTGTGTGTGCACAGGTTCCACATCTATAAAATAGGAATCACAGTATTACCTTGTGGAGGTGTGATAAAAGTTCAATGGGTTAATACATGAATGCATAAAAACTTGACTGAGCATTAGCAGCTAATACATATTAGCTTTGAAAATAGTGATAACTCATCAAATTAGACATTTATTTTAAATAAAATATTTGTAACTATACACAGTATTTTCATCTTAAATATTCTCAAACTTAAAATATCATTTGTGTTTACCGTTATTGAACTGGAAATTTTCATCCAGATTCACTAGGTTAAATCACTTAAAGTATTCAAGGCATGACTTTTTTTCTTTATCGATGTTCATAGCAGCACAATTCACAATAGCTAGACTGTGGAACCAACCTAGATGCCCTTCAATGGATGAATGGATAAAAAAAATGTGGCATTTATACACAATGGAGTATTACTCTGCATTAAAAAATGACAAAATCATAGAATTTACAGGGAAATGGATGGCATCAGAGCAGATTATGCTAAGTGAAGCTAGCCAATCCCTAAAAAACAAATGCCAAATGTCTTCTTTGATATAAGGAGAGTAACTAAGAACAGAGTAGGGTCGAAGAGCATGAGAAGAAGATTAACATTAAACAGGGATGAGAGGTGGGAGGGAAAGGGAGAGAGAAGGGAAAATGCATGGAAATGGAAGGAGACCCTCAGAGTTATACAAAAGTACATACAAGAGGAAGTGAGGGGAAGGGGAAAAATAATATAAGGGGGACAAACGAATGTCAGTAGAGGGGGCAGAGAGAGAAGAGGGGAGGGGAGGGGAGGGGAGGGGGGATAGTAGAGGATAGGAAAGGCAGCAGAATACAACAGACAGTAGTATGGCAATATGTAAATCAATGGATGTGTAACTGATGTGATTCTGCAATCTGTATATGGGGTAAAAATGGGAGCTCATAACCCACTTGAATCAAATTGTGAAATATGATATATCAAGAACTATGTAATGTTTTGAACAGCCAACAATAAAAAAAATAAATAAACAAGATAGGACTATAATCTTTGTAAGTAATTATGTGAATAAGGATAAACTAGAAATACGAAAATAATGTTCAAGGATTATTGAATTTCCAACATGGAAATTATCTATAATTAAAATTTTTTTTAATTATCTGTTAAAAAAAATTATTAATAATGATGAATGAATTATTTTTATCTTTATGTAAAAATTCATATATGTAAACCAACACATTTGTTTTTTTTTAATTCTTCAAATATGTACTTTAATGGATATACATATTTATATATACATTTGATGAAATAATGTAACTACTCACTTTTTAGATTTGATAGTTGTTTCCCATATTTGAAGCTTCTATTACAATGAAAATTATGATACAAATCGCTGAAAGTATAATTACTGAATCAAGAATAAGAATATTTTATGTTCTTGATGTAAATTTGCCAAATCGCTGCTGTTCATAGAATTTTGCTGTATATGTATCTCTCAGGCTTCTTGTTCACTAAGTTCCCGTCACCCAAATCATGCTCAAATTTTTTTTTCAAATTGATAAAAGGGGCTTGGATTGTGGCTCTGTGGTTGAGTACTTGCTTCACAAGCTTAAGACACTAGGTTTAATCTTTAGCACCACGTAAAAATAAAATAAAGGTATTATGTTTATTAAAAAAAATCTTAAATTGACAAACTGATGAAAATGCCCTTTTCCCCGTACAACTTTGATACATATTTGATATTTCATTTTTATCTTACCAATGTGACAAAATATTTCCCTTCAATTTGTATACTATAAAGTTTGACATTTCCTATATTATCTTTCATCAGATTTCATTTTTCCATGGTGTTAAAATTTGCCATTTAATAATCATTTCATGAAAAGATTTATGAAACATGAATTAGGCCTAGCCTATTTGGGAAAAAAATTAGACTACACAATTTAGAAACCTTGAAAAGACTGTAGGTCTGATAACCCCCTTTCATTACTGTGATAGACAAAAAGCTAAGCTGACTCTTGAGATTTCCTACCCACTGGTGTACACATCCCATGTAAGCCCTCATACTATGGATAAGGTAGATTTTACTCCTATGCTCAGATCATAGAAGTATATGAACAGATCATGTCATAAAAAAGGAAGGTTGTCTAAATAGGCCTGATGAAATCATTTTTCTGACTCAGGAAAGAAAGGTAGAGATCTAAAGCATGAGAAGGATTTGGCAAGTTATAACTGGCTTGAAGAATGATGGAAACATAGCAAGTAATGTAGGCATCCCCTGTTTGACAACCAGTAAGTTAATGGGAAGCTCAGTCCTAGAAGCATAAGGAGATGAGTTCTGCCTATTACAAAAATGAGCTTAGAATTGGAAATTTTTCCTGAGCTCCTAGACAGGAATTTAACCTAATCACCACCTTGATTGTATCCTTAGAGGCTCTAAGCCAATTATCAGTAATATAGTGCCCAAATCTTTAATCTGCAGAATTTTTTTTTTTTTTTTTTTGGAAAAAATGCAACTTTATTGAATATATACAGACTTTTGTCATTCCCTAAATAATACAGTATAACCACTATTTACCTAGCATTTACATCATATCAAGCAAAAAAGAATATAAATAAATACAAATGCTTTAAAGTATACATGAGAATATGTGTATGTTATATGCAGATACTAAACCATTTTATATAAGGGACTTGAGCATGTGCAGATTTTGTTATCTGTCTGGGGGTCCTGCAACCAATTCTGTAACAGTGGTTCACTTCACCTTTTAAATATAGGCCTCTTCTGCTCTAAGACTTTCTTTTCCTCCTCTTATCTTTTTTTTTTTTTTTAGAGTCACCTATATACGTACAGCAATCATAATGTCTATTCTATTCTGTTGCCCTTCCTATCCCCCCCCACTCCTCCCCTCCCCTCCCATCATTTCTCTATCCAATCTAATGTGACACACTTTTTTTACATCATACATGTAATCTGTATAACGATGAGGTTCTTCTTCCATCTTCTGTGCAACTCCCCTTCTCCCTCTTTTTCCTTCCCACCTCTCTTCCCTATTTAGAGGTAGTTGTCTTCTCATACTCTTCCTCCCTATCCCATTTTAAGTCACCCCCCTTATATCAGAGAAGACAATCGGCATTTGTTTTTTAGGGATTGGCTAACTTCACTTAGCATAATCTAATCTGCCGAATTTTAAGCTAAGAAATAAATCAACACATTTGTATCTGAGATGTGAATATTTCAAAATCAAGAGAATTACAAACAAATACTAAGTTCACATTGGAAATTCAAACTCAGGAGGATATGTTTAATTTGTGGGTCTTTTCCCCAAAGCACTTTACATGTAAATTGATTACAGTAAGTATGCTACATTGTGAAATAAAGATAGAAGACATTTGAATGCTTATGGAAAGCTCATTTTAGTGGACATTTGTATAGTTAATCATGCAACATGATGCTTGTGAGTACCAATATCAGAGGAACTTAACTTTGGAGACCTCACTTTGCTACTTAGTAGCTTTACTGTCTTGGACAAATTTATTAGTAGTATCAACATTGTTAAATAGGAGCATTCTCAACATGTAAGATGGACAGATAAGTGAGACAATTAATAGAACTTGTATAAATACAGTGTTCATTTTACCAAGGCTAATTTTCAATAAAAGCTTTCCATTTAGTTATAAAAACACCTAATAAAATCATTACATACTATCATTAAATTTTAGTTGGCAAATGAAAGTTTACATTTTTACTATCTCCTACCATTTTATTTTTCTCTCTCTACTACCATTTTTGCTCCCTCCTCTTCAAGAAGTACTAAAATGTATTTTACACAAGTGGTTGTGTGACTAATACTTTTTTAAATATAAAAATATAAATTGGAGCTAGGAATGTAGCTTAGTGGTAGATCACTTACCACTGGGAGGAAATATCTGTATGTATGTGTTTATTCCACCAAGCACTAATACATAATATATTGGATATCAATATAATGTTTTTGGTTCACTCTATTTCTTCTTTCTCTTCACTGTTTCATGCCATGGGGGAAAAACTTCATATCTGCTTACGTTCATTATGTCTGGTGGTTTCTGCTGTCCTCATTGTATCCTTGTGATAAATGAAATAAGTCAGCTTGTCTTCAGTCTCAGAGTTCAAAGTTAAACAAATATGAAAAGTGATGGGATTGCATTTGGGGTTTTTTAAATAGTCATATACTTCATTGGATTTGGCAGAAGGGCATGTTACTTAAATTGTTTAATAGACATGTGATGCATTCTTTTTTTTTCTAGGCAGGGAATTAAGATCACACACATGGTATATGCCAGGTATGTTCCAAGCACTTCATATAAATTAGTTCATTTAATCCTCATAACGTCCCTGCAAGCATTAATCCCTAATAACAGATTACTGATCTGTTAAGTAGCAGAGAAAACATTTGAACCTAAGGCTAATGCCAGAACCTGGGTGTTTTTCCACTGTTCCAGGCTGTTTGTTACTCTGTATAGGAAGTTCAGAGTCAGATGATTTTGATGCCAGCATATAACTGAAGTATGGATTTAGTATTGTGCATTTACTTGATTTAATCACACAATATGAAATGTGCATGACTAATCTCTTCATTGTGTACACAAATGTAACACTTTCTGTACCCAAGGGTGCTCAAAAATGAAATAAATTGGTAATACTTTTTTTTTTTTTTTTATTGTGGGTTGTTCAAAACATTACAAATTTCTTGACATATCATATTCCACACTTTGATTCAAGTGGGTTATGAACTCCCACCTTCACCCCATACACAGATTGCAGATTCACATCAGTTACACATCCATTGATTTACAAATTGCCATACTAGTGTCTGTTGTGCTCCGCTGCCTTTCCCATCCTCCACCCTCCACCCTCCCCACCTCTCCCCTCCCCTCCCCTCCTCTCTCTCTACCCCCTCCACTGTATAACCCTGAGGGTCTCCTTCCATTACCGTGCAATTTCCCTTCTCTCTCCCTTTCCCTCCCACCTCTCATCCCTGTTAAATGTTAATCTTCTTCTCATGCTCTTCGTCCCTACTCTGTTCTTAGTTACTTTCCTTATATCAAAGAAGACATTTGGCATTTGTTTTTTAGGGATTGGCTAGCTTCACTTAGCATAATCTGCTCTAATGCCATCCATTTCCCTGTAAATTCTATGATTTTGTCATTTTTTAATGCAGAGTAATACTCCATTGTGTATAAATGCCACATTTTTTTTATCCATTCATCTATTGAAGGGCATCTAGGTTGGTTCCACAGTCTTGCTATTGTGAATTGTGCTGCTATGAACATCGATGTAGCAGTGTCCCTATAGCATGCTCTTTTTAGGTCTTTAGGGAATAGACTGAGAAGGGGAATAGCTGGGTCAAATGGTGGCTCCATTCCCAGCTTTTCAAGAAATCTCCATACTGCTTTCCAAATTGGCTGCACCAATTTGCAGTCCCACCAGCAATGTACAAGTGTACCCTTTTCCCCACATCCTCGCCAGCACTTGTTGTTGTTTGACTTCCTAATGGCTGCCAATCTTACTGGAGTGAGATGGTATCTTAGGGTGGTTTTGATTTGCATTTCTCTGACAGCTAGAGATGTTGAGCATTTTTTCATGTACTTGTTGATTGACTGTATGTCCTCCTCTGAGAAGTGTCTGTTCAGGTCCTTGGCCCATTTGTTGATTGGGTTGTTTGTTCTCTTATTGTCTAATTTTTTGAGTTCTTTGTATACTCTGGATATTAGGGCTCTATCTGAAGTGTGAGGAGTAAAGATTTGTTCCCAGGGTGTAGGCTCCCTATTTACCTCTCTTATTGTTTCTTTTGCTGAGAAAAAACTTTTTAGTTTGAGTAAGTCCCATTTGTTGATTCTAGTTATTAACTTTTGTGCTATGGGTGTCCTATTGAGGAATTTGGAGCCCGACCCCACCGACTGTAGATCGTAGCCAACTTTTTCTTCTATCAGACGGCACGTCTCTGATTTGATATCAAGCTCCTTGATCCATTTTGAATTCACTTTTGTGCATGGCGAGAGAAAGGGATTGAGTTTCATTTTGTTGCATATGGATTTCCAGTTTTCCCAGCACCATTTGTTGAAGATGCTATCCTTCCTCCATTGCATGCTTTTAGCCCCTTTATCAAATATAAGATAGTTGTAGTTTTGTGGATTGGTTTCTGTGTCCTCTATTCTGTACCATTGGTCCACCCGCGTGTTTTGGTACCAGTACCATGCTGTTTTTGTTACTATTGCTCTGTAGTATAGTTTGAAGTCTGGTATCGCTATACCGCCTGATTCACACTTCTTGCTTAGCATTGTTTTTGCTATTCTGGGTCTTTTATTTTTCCATATGAATTTCATGATTGCTTTCTCTATTTCTACAAGAAATGCCGTTGGGATTTTGATTGGCATTGCATTAAACCTATAGAGAACTTTTGGTAATATCGCCATTTTGATGATGTTAGTTCTGCCTATCCATGAACAGGGTATATTTTTCCATCTTCTAAGATCTTCTTCTATTTCTCTCTTTAGGGTTCTGTAGTTTTCATTGTATAAGTCTTTCACCTCTTTTGTTAGGTTGATTCCCAAGTATTTTATTTTTTTTGAAGATATTGTGAATGGAGTGGTTGCCCTCATTTCCATTTCAGAGGATTTGTTGCTGATATACAGGAATGCCTTTGATTTATGCGTGTTGATTTTAAATCCTGCCACTTTGCTGAATTCATTTATTAGCTCTAATAGTTTCTTTGTAGAGCCTTTTGGGTCTGCCAGGTATAGAATCATATCATCTGCAAATAGTGATAATTTAATTTCTTCTTTTCCTATTTTTATGCCTTTAATTTCTTTCGTCTGTCTAATTGCTCTGGCCAGTGTTTCGAGAACTATGTTGAAGAGAAGTGGTGAGAGAGGGCATCCCTGTCTTGTTCCAGATTTTAGAGGGAATGCCTTCAATTTTTCTCCATTCAGAATGATGCTATCCTGAGGCTTAGCATAGATTGCTGTTGTTTTGCTCTTCTTTTTCAAGGATTTTGAGATGAAGTATGAGATCATTTATTTGTTGGTTTTTTTCTTTTTTTAAGGAATGAACTCCAAGCAATGAATTTTCCTCTTAGAACTGCTTTCAATGTGTCCCATAGATTCCGATATGTTGTAATCTATTGTTCATTCTCCAATTGATGTATGCTTTTTCCTTCCTTCTTTTTCGTTGATTTTCAGTTTCATTCCATTATGATCAGATAAGATGCATGGTATTATCTCTACTCCTTTATATTGTCTTAAGAGTTGCCCTGTGACATAATATATGATCTATTTTTGAGAAGGATCCATGTGCTGCTGAGAAAAAAGTGTAACTGCTTGATGTTGGGTGGTATACTCTATATATGTCAATTAGGTCTAGGTTATTAATAGTACTTTTTTTTTTTTTTTACCGTAGATCTACTATCAATTAATTTTAAATCCCTGATGAAAGAATATATTTTCATACATAATGAGCCTCTGGGTTCAATCCCCAGTACCAAAGTAAATTAATTAAACCCTTTAAAAAATAAATCCACCTGGAGCATAGGTCCAGAAAATAAAGCAGGTAAAACCATTAAGTGCTGTTCCCATTTACAGAATGACAAAGATAAGTTAATCAAAACCTTCCTCAGTATTAAGTCTACAGCATGCTTGAGATAAAAGTCAAACAGTGTTCCAACCACTTGATTTCAAACCAAGTATATTTTATGTTTAGAAATCCCAAAAATATATTTAATTAAGAAATACAGAAAAAACAAATATCACCACATTGATCCCAAAATTATCTTGTGAGGAAAAGAAAGAGAATTTGGATAAACTTTGCTGTTTTTTCCCTTGCTTAAGTCCCACCATGTTTGTGAATAACAGCTAACAGATGCCAGCTCTTGAAAGCCTATGTGTCAAGTCATTTCTCGTTGAATGTTTTTGGAATTTTTATGTTACATTTTATTTATCTATTCATACATTCTGCTACATGGTTATATCTGAATAATCTGGACAATTTTCTTTCTGGGTAGTCATTTATTTGATCATGTGAATGTCATGGTAAAAGGAAGAAGATATAGGAATGGACAAATAAGAACCCTCACTAGTCACATCATCACAGAATTTTAGTCTCAAGATGGAAAAGCCTAATTCTAGTTTGAACCAAAGTTTACAGAACACTATTTTTTTTTTTAAAGAGAGAGGAGAGAGAGAGAGAATTTTAATATTTATTTTTTAGTTCTTGGCGGACACAACATCTTTGTTTGTATGTGGTGCTGAGGATCGAACCCGGGCCACACGCATGCCAGGCGAGCGCGCTACCGCTTGAGCCACATCCCCAGCCCTACAGTACACTATTAATGGAAATTAGTGGCAATGGTTGCTAAAAGTAAAAGTTAAGTTGAATGACCCAAGGTTGACTGAACTTACTGAATCCAGGACAATCCTTATGTTAAAAATTTTCCTAATTACCTATTTAATTATAAAAATCTTTTTATACCACTACTTTGTAAGTTAATAAAGGCAATTACATATTTAAAATTTTTTTTTCAAAATCAGAATCCAAATGAAGTCTTTACATTGAAATTAATGTCTCAAGTATCTCTTTAATGTTTTTATACCTGATCTTAGCCAAAAGACAGAGAAGCAATTATGCTTTTATTAGTTTGTTGTATTTATACATAATAATTGGGTTTATTTTTATATTATTATACGTGCATAGATTTAATTCTTTTCAGTTCCTTACACCCCACCTTTTCTTCCCTCTCCTAATCTCCCTCTTTTGTATTCCTGTTCCTTCCAATCACTTATTTTTAATTGGTGTTTTGTATATGTACATAAAGGTGAAGTTCACTGTGATGTATTTATACATTCACATAATTGAGTATCCTTATATCTTACTTTCTTATGTTCATGCAATTTTGAGTTGAAATAACTTGATCATATCTTCAAATTTTGCCAGTGTCTAGATTTTATTCATAGCATCTTCATCGTGTGATTTAAAGAGTTATGTGTTTTAAAGTATTTTCTTTTTTCCAATTCAAATTTTCTGTTTGCTTGTGGTGGCTTTGGTGTTGAGAAGAAAAAGCTTGATGTGGTGATTTTGCAAGATTGCAATGGCAATTGAATAGGATATCATAATGTTAATTTTCTTGGTTCTGATCAGTTGTAATTTTTGTCAAGAACTGAGGTAGACATTGGATTTCTTTTGCATGGATTTTCAGCTCATAATGTTGAAATATCTTACATGAATTATTAAAATCACTTACATGTTAATTTTGCCCATACTTTTCAAACCCCATTTTTCATCACTTCTC